TGTGGGACACTCATTTGGGACACTCTTGCGGGACACTCTTGTGGGACACTCTTGCAGGACACTCTTGTGGGACACTCTTGTGGGACACTCTTGTGGGACACTCTTGTAGGACACTCTTGTGGGACACTCTTGTAGGACACTCTTGTGGGACATGCGGGACACTCTTGCGGGACACGCTTGTAGGACACTCATACGGGACACTCTTGTGGGACACTCTTGTGGGACACTCTTGTAGGAGACTCTTGTGGGACACTCTTGTGGGACACTCTTGCGGGACACTCTTGTGGGACACTCTTGCGGGACACTCTTGTAGGAAACTCTTGTGGGATACTCTTGTAGGACACTCTTGTAGGACACTCTTGCGGGACACTCCTGTAGGGCACACTCTTCGTACGAGACTTCCTCCAAAAGTCACACGTCAAGTCTCCAAAACGAGCGTTTCGTATGAGACTTCCTCCAAAAGTCACATGTCAAGTCCCCAAAACGAGCGTTTCGTACGAGACTTCCTCAAAAACTCACATGTCAAAGTCTGCAAAACGAACGTTTCGCACGAGACTTCCTCCAAAAGTCCATCGGAGCACACACATCATGCAGCCCTGCCGAGCAGTTTCGCGATTCCAGCCCCTCCAAACGACACCCGCTCACACGCCAATCCCAATGTGACAGCGACATTCACCTCTACCACAACTCACAACCTCCCAATTCCCTGCGCCTGCCACGAATCTTTCCGCGTCCACACGTCTAACGCGCACAAAGTACTGCGCCTGCCACGAAATGTCACCTCCGTCACACATCGCAGCCTCACGATTCCCTGCGCCTGCCACGAAAATCCCACTTCCACACCTCAAAACCCGCACAAAGTACTGTGCCTGCCACGAAAAGTAACATTGTCATCTCATGTGAGCTTCAACAAAATTTGCACCACACCACACGTTTAGAATGATTTCGACCCGTTCTGAGCACACTCCCATCCACCAAAATCGCCATTTCAGCTGAGACTTGTCACGAAAACAGAGCTTCGATGCCACACCCTGAAATGCAAATCCCAATGGCACGGCCACATCCAACACCCCAAAAACACGACTCTCCAAACGCTAATCCCAATGGAACTGCGACGCAAACTGCGGATCTCACAAAACGCTGCGCCTGTGCAGCGAAATGCATCACGCTTCTTGCGCGACATGTGTTTTTCACGCAAATCACAATGGACTCGCGTCGCAAACTCACACGTGACACATCCATGCATAGTCACGTGCAAAAGCTTCCCCCAATGCTAGCGCCTTAGCGCTCTACTGCGAACGGTTGCGGACGGTTGCGGACGGTTGCGAACGGTTGCGGACGGTTGCGAACATAGAAGCAACGGGTCGCGAACAAAGCTCTACCCCCAGACCCCCAAGAGTTAAACGAGAACCCTTCGCTACGCATTCGGGAATAATTGCTTTGCTCAGATATTTTGGACAAGTGTCCCTCCAAGACCTGAGCAAGCAAAGGTTTTAGTAATTACAAAGGATTATGTTTTGGCCGCACCTGAAGAAGAGGCAGAGTTCAGGGCTCCAGGTATTATAGATGTAAGTTGTAAGTCGTGTATGCCGGTTCTCGGCCAATTCGTGCCAGCCTGAGCACACTTTCGTGAATTAGTGTTCCTACACATTCCTGTGCTGGCAGCTCAAATATGTTCAACTGATCCACCCCAATCTCTCTGCATCATATGTTGAATTTCTGAAACGCAATGATACGGTGCTTGGAGGGTCTCCCTGTCTCCCTCTTCAAAAAACAATTCTCTCAATGTGGGGATATGTGGGGTATGTTTGACGAACGAGTTCGTCCAACTCCTTCACAGTTGGGCACCTCATCGTCCGGTTCGGCATCCCCAGCCAAATCCTGGCGTCTGACGCTGCCAACTCATCTGCGCCGAATCACTGAGTCTTCATCCTGATTTCACCTGAGTTCCCACTTCTAAACGTCATAATCCATTGGGGAATCCTTCCAAAAGTGCTATTGAAAAGATGATCCTAAAACATACCCATGCAAGGTTCTATATGACACGAGGACCCCGCCTCATTTTATAGCAGAGGAAACGGCCACGGGTATCCTAAAATTCAGCAGTTTGACTCCTTCACCACCAGACAAACCGAGACATCTCATCTCCTCCGCGCGCTTGGCTGCGAAGTGCGTCATCGGCTGATCCAGCGCCACCTGGACCGGAGGTTTCGGCTTTTCCTGTCTGCTTGGTGGCTTCAACTCCAAAAACGGTAGTTTTTGTTGCTCTTAGGTTGGAGGCCATCGCTACTAGGTTGGGGGGTGGGTGAAACCTCATCCCAAGTAAAGGTCTAAAGAATATCCTGCGGTTTCACCCAAACCAGATGTTGTGTTTCAATTTTTCAAGTATTGTACAACAATTAGATGTGCACCCCGAAAGGAAGACTAGGAAGTCGTCTACAAATGGTTTTCATGGTTCTTCACTTCCATGCTAATTTGTCCTCTTTGAGTGCATTCAGCCCTAAGAAAAATGGACCGTCAAAGGTGATCCCGGAAAACCTTGTACCCCAGTGGTGCTCATGTGCAGTAAACTCCCGTGCTGTGCCTGACTGAAAAAATACGGCTCCCGTACCTACTAGTAGCTTGACACTGGAGCCCAGCCGCAGGTCCCTTAAAGCCTTGTGTGGTCCTTTGTTTCGGCGAGGACCACCAAACGGTTGCAGGCTGAGAACCAGTTGGAATTACTCGGATCTTTCCCCCTGTGTAAAAGTTCAGACCTTTGGCTGGTTTTAGGGATGAAAGGGCAAACAGTTGGAACATTCAGGTGTTTCTCAGCTGTGGGACTTCAACCCGGGTACCGGTTGACCACAGAAACTGAACAGAATAGACGACCTATGGGAGGTCTAGTTCGCTACATGGTGGACTGGTCGGGCTCCAGGTTTTAACCCACTTCTCCTTCAGACTCATGGATTTTGGTCAGAGACAAAAGATGTTAGTCACCCTGGCTTTTCACTTGGATAGGCTGAGTCAGGCTTACCTTCCTTGCAACAGCTGCAATGCTGGTGATGTTTGCGCAATAGATGCTTTATCTCAGAAAGGTGTGGGCCCCATCCCTACAGTACCATCACACCCACCATGAAGTCTGTAAATCACCAAATGAGCTCAACAAAAAACACATTAACAAACTAAACACTCAATGTCTCAATTCATCTCAATTCCCAAGATTTGTGGCTCAGATGCCAGACTCGCTGCCTCACGTCGAACGCGTCCAACGCGTCGAACGAGTCGAACGTCCATCGGATCCACTGCCCGGCACCTCCAAGAGCGAGTTCAAGGGCCGCTGTCGCGCGGACACCTGCGCACGGCACGGACCACGGATGCGGACGGCACCGACCACGGCACGGACCACGGGTCGCGGAGAAACACATGCGCCCGATGCGGAAGGATCGGAGTCAGAAGAGTCAAATGGTCGCCATAAGTGGCGAAAGCGTTTGCGTGGTCTTTTTCTCTCGCCGTTTCGTGTGTTTCCTCTCTTTGACCAGTGAGTTCTCATCTTTGAGTGACGAGCTGCTTGAAACTTGAAATTTGCCCTGAACCATGTTGGGGCCCCACATGTCTGGCGCTTGCTACAAGTGTCCCGTCCGAAATCGACTACATCAATCACCCATCAGCCAAATCGTCTGTTTTTCTGGCTGATTCCAGGTTGATGTGAATTACTACTAACATGGGCATCGATACTAGTAACAAGGGCATTACGACTATAAGCTAGAAGCTACTAGTAGCCAGAAGCAACCCCCTTCCTGTTCAACGTCCGGTGAGAACTTCAGCCTGGAACCCTAGTGATATCTACATAGTGATCAACATCGTTGTTTCCACTCGGGGGGGTTGTAAGAACAATGCCCACGGGAAGTCAAATTGATGTCGTCCGGATGGAATAGATATTCCTGCTTCGCCCAAACATGCCCAAACATATCATGCAAACTGTTGTATTAATCAACCCCTCCGTTTGGACTGGTAAATCCGCTTCTAAAGTGTTTCTTTTCTTGTTTAATCTACATGAGGCATCGTGATGCCAAAAAAAAAATACTATGGCATTGCCCGCCCCAGCCGCAGTTGTCTTCCTGTCTTCGCTTGCCCTCTCTCAGTCTGACAAGCGCCTCACCCTTCATTTCCCAGCTCTTCTCTTGCAACCTTGACTTCATCAGCTAAGCAAACTGGAGAGTTGGGCTGATTGCTTTCAGCTGACCGGACAAAGGACTTTCCAACCAATCTGAAAGGATTTTCCCCCAAACTCGGATCCCAGTCCACAGTCGATGATGTTTTCAGCATGGCAAGCCTGTTCGGGGTTGCTGTTCAGGGGTCCCTATGGCAGCCATTGAACTCTGAAGAGGAACCGTTTCCCCCCAAAGCAGGACCCCGAAGGGCTGCTTTTCCACCGTGAAGAGCAGTCCAAGTGGACCATGATGGACCATGGATGACCCGCTTGAGCGAGTCCGGCTCCATGGTGTTTTTCTTGCCTCTTGAGTCCGGCAATCTTCGACAGAACGTACATGCTGAGAAGTGACAAAAAAGGACACGAAGAGGACTCTCAAATGAGGCTGCAAACGGGGGGTTCTCCGGGCAAAAACAACACAAGCACACGTCAGACGAGTCGAAAACGCGGAGCCTGCCTTTGTTTCTGATAAAGTGTGCTTGCTTTGACGCATTGACAAAGTGCTTAGACAAACGGATTTGTTCGACAAAATCCGCGCGAAGAAGTCGAATATGAACAGAGTAATGCCAATTCTCGACAAGGTGTTTTTCATCTCCCTAGTCAAGGTGTGGTTTCATTATTTTTATATCGCATTTCATGCTGCAAAAACCTTCAAAAATACTGCTGGCACCAGTGAAAATGGATGTGGTGTTTTTTTTACACTGTAAATCACAGTACGTTTGCACGGCCAAAAGAACGAAAAGAACAATTAAGTCTGATGGTCAGCCCTTTTTTTTGTCTGATCGTCATTCCTTTCGGTCTTTCGGTCTTAAGTTTGCCACAGTGTTTTTTTTGAAAGCATCGCGTGGCACCACGCATGCTTCGCATGCCTTTGCGCGAAAAATCGCGAGAGCTCTCAAGACTCGCTTCAACCCATGCAGGTCCCTTGTACCGTCGGAGCTCTCGCTTTCCAACATTTGCAAGCGACTCTGCTATCTGGTCTCCGCCTGCCAACATAAAAAGATCCTTCTTTTCCTTGGCCACACCGTCTGCAACCAATCTACGCAACTGCGCCACTTTCTGCTGCACTGCGAAGGCCACATTCATGTCCGGGAGCCGGCAGCCTTGTAAGCGCAGCAGCAAAACAAGTCCGAGGAACTCCAGCGTCGGATTCTCCCGCGTGCACACCATCGCCCACTGATGCATCGGACTTTACGCAATGCCAATCATCAGAAGCTTTACGGACTATTCATTACATATCTTTGGCGCTATAGTGGAAAGTCGTAATGTTCGACAACTTCAACATTCCTTTATAATCCTCTGTCTCCTTTATCCTCTTAAAATGGCTGCGACTCTCTCTGTCTTGGTTCCACGTACATTCGACTCTGAATCCGTCCTGTACATGTATTTCAGATGCCTAACCCAAAAAAACAAACGGACCTGAGTGTTGAAAATGACCGAAACTGAATTGACCTGAGTGCCCAGGCGGAACCTACTTTCCACTTTTAAAGATGTATATATATAGCTATATATATGTATATATATATATTATATATATATATTAAATTATACTCTTACCAGTAAGTCAAATATGGTGACGTCGATGACAATGTTGTGATCATTGTTGTGACACCCTGACCCCCCCCCCATATTAATCACACGACTAATCGATGACAATGTTGTGGTCATGACAATGCTGTGATCGATGACACAATGTTGTGATCGATGACAATGTCGTGACACCCCAACCCCACCCCACCCCACCCCATTTTAATCACACGACTGATCGATGACAATGTTGTGGTCATGACAATGCTGTGATCGATGACAATGTTGTGATCGATGATGATGTTGTGATCGATGACACAATGTTGTGATCGATGACAATGTTGCTGAAGTCCCTGAAGTCCGCGATGATGCTGAAATCCCCGGAGAACCCCCCGTCCAGACCCTCAAATGATTCAGTGGTTTGTATATGGCGATAGGGAGTTGCCAAACAGTCTGGAATTGAACTGGACACTTTCTGACAGAAATCCAATGCCAGAAACTGCTCCAACAAGGCTTGAACCCCCAAAAACATCTCTTGAAACATGGTCCAAGTCAAAGTCTTTCACCTATCTTACTGTTCAATTTAAGGGGCTTCACGCGCGTTTCCGCGCCAGGCACAGGAGAGGAGGAAAAAAGAAGCGAAAGGCGAGCAGGGGGGAAGTAGTAGCAGCCACCCTCACCGGGCAAGAGATCGGAGCTGGTGGAAGACTCCGCCCAGCTGGCGCGGAGTGCGAGAACGCGGCTGGGAGTGCGACTGCTCTTCTTCCAGCTTTTGCACCTCTTCCTCCAGAGACTTCAGCCGCCTGGGTAGGTTTTTGCCACAGAGGACCAAGGACGGACAAAGGAAGACTTCCAGGAAGTCTCATGGATGGTGGGGCTTTGAAAAGTGGACTGATGTACTTGATGAGCAAATATATTGTGTTTCATAGAACCAAGAAATGATGTCTTTGATGCATGTTTATAATGGAACTCACCTTTCTTGTGGGAATGATTATGTATGCAGAATGGAGTTCTGGGAATGCCACCCTCTCAGCAAGCTGGACAAAAGGAACCATCTGCTTGCCAGCGGCATATGTGAAAGTACAAAAGGAGGACAGGAGTATTAAAAAGCACATGTTCTATTCTTTTGTCCTGCCAGCAAACCAACATCTGAACAAAAACTTGTGCTCTTCCTTACATCAGCTCAGCCCATGGAGATCTGCCGAAGTTGTGCCACCGGTGAGTTGGTCCTAGAGGATGGAGATGACCCCGGGGAAGAAATTGGAAGTGTTCCACCTCCGAATGTCCATCTGATTATGGCTCCAAGCTATAGAGTACCATTATAGCCCACGGACTTCAACTATGTTTCACAGCATTTTTGTCGATGCTTGCTGCAATGGTTTAGAAAGGAACATTCTCATCAAAACACGGCTGTTAAAACAAACAACAACATCATTATACATCCACATGCCTATTGACCTGGATGTGATTGAATTCTACTTTGAGTCATGGTGATACTTTGCCCCGGAAGGCCTAATGGATACAGCTTCCAACGCATGACATATAGACTTTATAGAGTCTTCATGTTTTTGTCATGCCTAACCCGGTTGCTCTCTCCGGCCTGTCCATCTCATAGAGGGAACTCTTGCCCTTCTTCTCCTTGCCTATGTCCGGATGGCTTGGGTGCGGTGGGAAGGTTGTTGAAAGGTTTCATGACCACTAAGTGCATCCAATACCCAAACACGACCGGTGGGACTGCCATATTTGCATACATTGGGGTGGTTTCAATGTAGGCATATACTCCAGTCCCATGGAGTGTATGGGATAGACTGAAGAACCATTGGTTGCGGCTCACCATCCAAAACCTGCAAGGTGCTGGTGCTGATCTATGTTTTTGCCTTACAAGCGCACCTTTTCTTGAGCCACAGCTGAATGGCCAACTTGGGTTCCACCGGCGAACGAAACATATTTCTTGGGTATATCCCATTATGATGGTTCGGTTAGCAAAGGCGTTTCTCCATCTTTCTCCAAAGTAGTGATAATTGTTGGCCGACTGTTACAGTCGCTAATAATCCTTGAACCATCCATAAAACTATAAACCTTAAAACGTAGGAAGTACAGTGCAAGCCATGAACAACAAACTAATTCGCTTAGCTGACTTCACACGGACCCCAACAAACATCGGGCAGGCTTTGAGTCCACACTATTGTCCTGCTCATCCACAAAACCAGATCCACCCTATGCATGAGCAGTGTGATCTGTCAATTTGGAATGCGTGAGATGCCACTGAACCACCCCTACAAATCAGAATGACCACTGCTTTCCGCACGCCGACCCCCCTTCTTAGCCAAGGCAGCCTGCGAGATCCGCCTCTTCCACCTGACAGATCCGTCCACAGCTCTTGCAGAATCTATGGCTTTTCCAACGGCCACAAGCGTCCGAGAAGCGCGTGAAATATTGAAACGTATCCAGAAACAATTGGAAATTCCAACCAATAGGATGGTTTATTGCAACCTTGAAGAGCCAACTTCTTTGGAAAGCGGGTTTGGCTCTTCTCAGTTGGGTGCTATCACTGTCACTCTTTGGCGATCAAAAGGAGGATGAAAATCATAGCTAGTAGGGTTTCAGGTGTGCGCACATCTTGTGCCAAACATATCTGTATACATAATATATCCAAATATAACAATATCCATATCTACTACAAATCATACGTATAATATAGACCTTGGCCGCCTTGGCCTACCAAAATCTAAAAAAGAAGGGTTTACTAAACAACTCGAGGTTTTCTAAGATTGCAAGGTGGAAGCCTTGAAAACCCGTCCAAACACGTTGGTCAAGTGTGTGTGATTTGTGTATGTGCGAGAAAAGGGGCCACTCTCGATTTGACCAACAGGTTGCTTGCACAAATGGACGTACCAGCTATGTTCTTTGTTTTTTCATGGACGTGGTATTTGTGGAAGACATGGAGATCTAAGTTTTTACGTAAGTGTTCATATGCGTTCATGTAGGCTACACCTCCCCAAACCACTGCAGGCATGCGTTTGGGCACCAATGGCTTCCACTCTATTTTGATCTGCAAGGACCACCCAACGTTTTGCCCAATTGTCCTGGCGGTTTGGACGCCTCAAAACCCCATATCTTCTTGCTGTTTCATGTTTGCACAATATCTGAAACGCTCAAAGGGTTTGGTCGCTCAGCGGAAAAAAAGGAAGCTACCGGAGCGAGGGCTGTCCTGCTTGTTGATCCTAATGTGAGATGCACAGCTGCCTATTCCAACGGTGGCAAGGAACACCATGAATCCACCCTAACCCTCGCGCCGGCACCTCGGCATCTTCATCTGCATCTTCCTCCTCTTCCTGCCACACTCAAGGGGTATCCCAAACGAGTTGTGAATTGCTGGGAGTCCAAAACACGGCACAAATACCGTCAAGATCCTCCGTGTGAAGATGGGTGTTCCTTCGACATGGTGCAATAATGCCGTCTAGGGAGTCTATGGACTTGGTTTCCTGCATTTACATGCTAACTGTCGCATCCCCGGGTGCTCTCTGAGCAGTTCCTGCGTCTAAGTACCATCAAATCAGCAAGCTAGTTTATATAACATGACCCAGCTTCATACAAGGCACGCAGCCTCACCGCACCAAAGAAATAACTGATACACAAAAAAGAACAAAGTTGTCGTTCCTGTAACATTGAGCGCCTGTCGTTGAGACTTCTTGTATAAGTCGCAGGCGCTGTGCTTTCATATTGGAGAACACTGCCATCCAAAGAAGGCGAAGAGGAGAGCTATTGCAGCACCACCCAAACGCAGAGCTATTGGTCAGTGCGGCTGGGAATGCTCCTCCTCTCTGCTACACGAACTCAACGGATTCAGCCAACGACCAGCGACCAGTGGTCACTGCGTGACAGTGCCTCTGTCACGCAGGATTGGGACTGCCAACCCAGCAGTGCAGCTCTGAGGTGCGCTGTGCAGTTCACGTCGTCGCGAAGTGGGCCCGCGTGTGCGGAAAAAACGCGGCACCACACGTAGCGCGGGTACCGTGAAAAGGAGGTTCCCATGGTACCGAGCTCCGATGACTCAAACCATGTGTTCAATTCACAGTCCTCTCTTGGGTCATCTTAAAAGTGCTGTCATACACTGACAGGCCTTCCCTTTTTCAGCTGTGCCTTTCTTTTGGTTCGTGAACGTCGCTCGGAAGTACGTCGGAGCAGTACGCCTCGGTGGGCACCAATAGATCAAGGCGCCGAGGGCTGTCGTTGCCCGCTTGCTTCATGGGTTTGAGAGGCTCCCATCTGAAGAGCCTCCCAAATTGTTGGCAAGCAAGCACTCCAGTCTGGCAGCACCGGTTCAGTGCCAAAGTCTTCCATGGTTCACAGCGTCCGCCTCTGGAGCTAGATCGACATTGATTTAACCGCGTGCGATCACAACACTGCTTCAGTAGGCAGGAAACCCCTTTCCACCCACCCCGACCCCCATTGAATGACCAATAAAAACCTCACAACAGCAGCACATGCATCCAAGAAAGTCCATTTTCCACTCGGTGTTCCACCCGCACCGCACCGCGACGCGTGAGCCGCCTCCTCGCCCGCGAGGGCTTGCAGCTGCTCCTCCAGCGCCTTCTCCTGGCAGTGGGGCCATAGAGCGCCAGAAGCAAGGGAGGGAGGGGGAGAGAGAGAAAGAGAGAGCTTATGGAGCGGAAAAACGACGTCTCCGCAAACAAGGTGAAGATAGGTGAAGCTAAAGTCATTTTTGGCTGCTTTGAGGACTTACAACAGGCATTCATCACGAATTATAGGAATAGATCGAGATAATTTTTGGCATTCACCAGGGATGATTTCCCGTGCTTTGCTCATCTTTGCTTCATTGAAAGGGCCAAACACGCGGACAGTCTAAAAATGTCTATAGAGCTACCTGCAGTGGCTGTGCTTGGAAGACTTCGAGGTCCAAAACCAGCTGACTCTCGAGTACTTGGCACACAACTGGGACAATTCGTGTTTGGTGAGGATAGCTCGAACATAGGGCCTGAACAAATACTATAGGTCTTCTCCGTCCATGATTGGGAGGCCCCAACCACCAATCACTATGCAAGCTCAAGGATGACTGTCGTATGACTAGGATGAGTTTTTTGTCCAAACCAGCTTGAGATGACTTCGGTGACTTCTGCCAGAATCCTGTGAAAGGGCGCCCTTTGTTCCTAGTGGCGTCCTTGTTACTAGTAGTAATGCCAGGAGCTACTAGTGGTGTCCTTGTTACTAGTAGCGATGCCCTTTGCTACTAATTAATAGATTCTTGTTACTGTCTTCCATATCCATCTTCCCAGATCCATTCCTACCAGGACCACCCTGGCAGGGTGTCCTGGCTGGACTCCCCACAGGAGGGTCCAGGACGATCTCCAACGGAGAGTTGAAGACTGAGCCCCCCGAAACCGTCTTGGTTGGACAATAAAAGGTCCTAACTAACCGTAACCGCAACATTGGACACCACGTGTGGAGGGCATGTGGGGTGTCCTCCTCATGCCAACCACCAAACAACGGTGTTGCCGGTGATCCACGAAACCAATCCAGCAGGAAGTGGATGGCATGCAGACTGCGGATAACCATCCGGACTCAACGAAACGCGCTGATGAATTCAAGGAACCGAACGAACCTGAGGGAGGGGATGGTGAAGATGATACTGAACAAAAAAAATATGCAGGGGGCCCAAAGGTAATTAGTAGCTTCTTGTTACTAGTAGTATGGCCAGGAGCTACTAGCAGCTTCTTGCTCCTAGTAGCGATGCCAGGAACCCCTAGTAGCTTCTTGATACTTTTCTGAACCGAAATGCACCCAACATACGGTCCTTTCATGTCCTTTACTCAGGGAATGTACATCCACGGCTCCAGGGATAAGATGTTCAGACCTAGACCTTCGCTGTCCTTCAACCTAACGGCACCCGACGGCGCCTCTTCGTCCAAGTCGTCGAGCTGCGCCAGGGCGTCGGCCTCTGCCTGCTGAGCTTCCTCCTCGTGGATTGAGGGATCGAAACTAAGAATCATCAGCATCGATAGATAGAACTCAAAAGAGAAAAGGGTCACAACAAGTATTCCCCGTGAGCAATGAAAGGAACAACAAGACTAGGGAAAGAACAACAGCGGCAGGGGCAGGTGAAAAGAGGATGAGGCAGTCCCGCCGCAAAGCAAACCGAAACACAAAGAAGTAACAGAAGAGAACAAACGTTAGTTAGGATAGACATGTTGGGCATAGCAAAGGTGGGCCCTATCAGCCACCAGAGGACAATGAAAGGATATTTGCAACACCTATAGTAATCGAACATACTTAGGCAAGGGCATGCCATATTTGGTGTGGAGACGCGATGGCTGACCATTGAAAGATTGTTGTAGCAGGCGCAGTGCATTGGCGAAAGTAGTGCAGATTTTGTTTCGCTGGAGGGGGGTTGGCGCCTCCCCCCAGAGCGAATCAAAAATCATAAAGACCACCAGCCTCAAAAGGCACCACAAAGTAGATCATCATCCAAAAACTACACATTCCACTGCCCCATCAATGAAGGTCACCCATAAAGTGACACAAGGACCAAGGCAACCACGGGGTACGAATTTTGCGCACCGAGCTGCGTTGTTTTGACCAATGGATCACGAAGCCAGCGGGCCAGAAAGAGGACCAGGGGACCAATGGACTACGGGACCTACTCAGGATGTTTGTTTCTTATCATGTTCCTATAGATAGTTTTGGGAATCCTGGGTTTGTTTTTGATCTAGATGCCCCAGGAGCAGAAACATGCAGAAGTGGACGTGCAAGTATGCCCAGAGTGAATGCCCTATGTCAAAGAATGTGGGTGAACTGTGGTCAAATGAGTTGTTCCCCGAAGGAGTTGGGATGGCCATGGTGAAGAATGTGAAATTGGCGAGCCTTCATTGCCTCTCTCCCCATAACCCCAATCTCAACATATAAGTTAAGATGACATGCTATGATGACATCTTATAATCATTGACTACTTGCAAGATCACCTGGTATCCAATCCTACTGCATGGGCTGGGAGGGTTGGTGTTTCATATGCATCTGCTTTGTGTGCTGGACTTCGAGAGAAATTCCTACAAGCTTACCTGACCCTGTTTTGATTGAACAAAGTTCCATATGTTGAAAGGTTGGTGGAACTTTGGCTGCAGTGTCAGCAACAGAGCCGCAAACCCATACAGTAGGTCCTCGTCCTCATCTTCTTCCTCGTCCAAGTCCATCTCTTCGTCATCCTCGCGCATGGTTGATACATCCATTGAATTCGATAGAAAATGAAACTCGCTCGCCACTGGCTGGCCACTTGTGCAGTTTAGACCTTCTGATTCTGAGGTCTGCCAACAGACTCGGTTGCTACCAAACATACTCATACAATCTCATACAAAAATTGCGAGGCTTTGTTAGTTAAGGAGACCCTGCAGGGTCAGGGAGGCCCCTTAGATGGCAGGCGCCCCGAGACAAGACACCAAGCGGGTTCGCTCGGCTTCCTCCGGCCGTCACCGGTCGAGTCGTCCAGGCGGGCGGTGAGGTGTAGATCTCTGGACAAAAACGAACGAAAAACTACAAAAACTGGAGGTTAACAAACAACTATTTCTATATAACTGGAGGTAACTATACCAAAAACTAAGTAATTGGAGGTAACCATATAGTTCGACCGCACATCGAGACGGAGGTTTTTTCGTTACGAAGGATTCCTCCAACACATTCCAACACACCTCAACCCGAAGGAGCTCAAAGATCTCATGGAAACGGGAGTTGGTCATACAAGTTTCCACTATTCAATATTCTCACGGAGGTGGACCAGGTTGACCCTGGGTCAAACTGGACCTGGGATCTTTTTGCCCAGCCTGTGTGGCTGGCAGTGGGCCAAAACAATTGCTTATGGACTAGACTAGAGCACATTCCCCTAAGGTTGTCCGGTCAAATCCGTTTGAGGAACATTTGCCAAACATTGGCCACCGCTCTATCGGATTTGCAATGTTTTATCTTGTGTGCCCTCCGAAAGCCTTCCCATGTTTGGGACTTGTGCCATCCACTTCCACTCACAGTTTTTCGACTGCAGAGGTCGTCCTGTGGCACACGGGCACCCTTGGAGCCTGCGGAAGTCGTTGGCGAGATTTCTTGATGGCCAATGTGGTACAAGTGAAGTTGAATGTTAGGAATCTTTCAGGAACTTGCTAATTACCAGTATTTGATGTGACGTTGAAAGGCTGAAGAGTTGCCGAGAGCCAGAAAAGGAGCCTTGCCATTTGGTGTTGAGAAACACACCCCGAAGATGTTCGATGAAAACGCAACACCACCGTGAAACCACCGATAATCATCGAATCTGGACGGAGTCGGGGGTCTTTGACCAATTCTATTTTGAGGGACCAAGGAGGTGTGGATGCAAATGTACGGGGAAATTATATTGAACCGGCCTCGTACTTACCTTGGAAAATAGGACATGACATGACATGACATGAAGGACGAGTTCAACTTCAGTGATCCAAGTATCGGAATAGCTCAACCTCAACAGGCAAAAGAAACACTCAACTCAACACAAACGACTTCATTGAACCAACATAACCAACAGGTTTTAAAACAACGTTGAACATACATCACCACGGTCACAGTCATACGGGTCACAGTCATACGAACTGAATGTTCAAATCAACTGCCGGTATATGTGTTCAAAAATGCTCGAATCTCCTCAGGGTTGACTTTGTTACCTAACTAACGAAATTGTTTCACCCAGAAGATGCGTTACGAATTGTTCACCCAATTCATCCTAATCCCCAACAGCCCCAATGACATCCAATGACCTGTTGTTACGTCTTGGTGTCCCTCTACACGGCTTTGTCCTTCATGATTCTTGGCCATCTTGCTTCCCGCGTGGTTCCCAACCACAAACACCAAAGTCCTCTCCACACCAAAGTCTTTAACATCCATGGCTGCCTCTACATCTGTCGGAGACCAAGAGACGCAGTCCTCTCCACAAGCAGTCCTCTCCAAGGGATGACGCAGTCCTCTCTTCATATTCCACATGACATGGGTCGACTTACATCCGTACAGGGTCCGTACATATACTCACCTTACAGGACTCTAAAGGCGGATGGGTTCTGCCCGGCGCGGGGTCGGGAAGACCTTCACTCTTGCCCAACAATCTATGGATGGCACTGTGAACTACATTGACAATCACCCCAATGGAACCTAAGTGTTCCATACATGGAAGAATCTCCGGATCTTTCCTCACGATACAAATCCGAATCATTGGCACTCCGTGAATTCAACAAAACAACAACGTCTGGACGACGTACCCACCCAAGGCAAGAGTGTACAGGTGTCTTTTATGGGTGTGTTAGCTCAAATAGATTCGCGAGCGATTGGGGGGTCTCCCTATCAAAACACGCACACACACACAAATCTCTTTTCTTTTCGAGGTACTCATAGTAAGAAGTTCCTTCCAAAACCACAAGGCCTAAGGGTCTAAGAGTAGTTGCTACGACAGTCCAAGATGTTCGGACGCCGCTTCTGCAGATGTTCGGACGCCGATTGCCAGCCTTTGGTGGGCGCATCGAAGAACTCGGAGAAGGTGATGTTACCCGCCTGGAGCCGCGCCGTGGTGGGGCAGGGCTTCAGAATGCTTGACATCCAAGCTGCTGCGGTATAGGACGCGACTGTCTGAGCAGCTTTTGGGTGAGGTGTTTGGCTGAATGAAAGCTCTGTGTGTGTTATTTCATTTTTTTCAATATCCCGGATGTATGAATCATAGGATCTCTGAAATCTGAACTTGCAAGACCTCTGCATATGTGGGTAATTAAGGACATTGATTTTCCCTTCGGATTTTCCTGGAGAACAACTCTATGAAAGAAATGTGTTTCTTTTGCGTTCATTGACAACATGCTTCCACATGATACAAAGATGGCCGGTGCACACGAAAGGGGATGTATTTAGAAACCTGATAGTCAGTCCCTACCAGCAAGGTTGCATTGCAAATATTCCTTTTTCGGTCATTGAGAGGGATACCAGGATCAAAGGATCTCAATCTTGACTGATTAATGTAGACTCTTGATCAATCAAACCCCCACAGGAAGATTTATTCCAATCCAAAGGGAAGGGGGTTATTTATCAAGAGTCTACATGAATCCCCACGGTATGGAGACCTAGTCAACATGATGTCCACATCTTCGAAGCCAGTTTCAGCAAAGCACGGCCAGCGTGATGGTCTGATGAAGAGGCGAGAAAAGGGCCATGAAAACCAATGATATGTGGAGGTGTTTGATGGTTTTTGAGTTCCAGTACATGACAATATCATGCAAAACAAAACACCAATGCCCCCAAGCCTCAAATGGGTGCATTGTTGTAGGGTACAGGTGCAGTGGTGGGTGCCCATCTATGCCACATCAGCAGCTATTTCTGCTGAAACTCTAAGACTTCTGCCAGGAGTCGTTCTATCCTCGAACAACTCCTTTTGGAGAAAAAAACAGTGACATTCTGTGACTTTGCTTTGGGAGTAGCTCATTCAAAAGGCATGAGTCGGTTAGGTACCAACCTGTGTCAAGGACAAAGAAACAAGAGGCCCCCCTATATGAAGGGGAAAAGTGGCGAAGCCGCCAGTATTCGGAAGAAAAGCACCCACGTTGTCTCTGGTCTCTGGACGTTGTCCTTGGCACCTTCCAGTTTGTTTGATGCAAATGGGTGTGTTTGGGAGCAAAAAACATCTCTGAACCATTATGAACCCAGGAACGCTGCAAGGATCACAAAACATCCTGCCTCATCGTCATCATCACCAGCCTAGCCGAGTCAATGAGTCCATTTTATGGTTTTGAGGGCAGTTGACGGTCAACAGCCTGTACCCCGACAGCCGTTTCTGGGTTTCGTTCGTTAACGTAACGCGTTGGGGCCCATCAGCTGTAGCGATGCCCCCTCCGTTCCTAGTGAGGCCCTTTGCCACTAATTAATGTACATGTTACTAGTAGTAAGGCCAAGAGCTACCCTAGCTCGTAGCGTCAACTCCCGCTCCTTTTCGTCGCGATGCGACTGGGGTAGCTCCTCCTCTTCGCCCAAAAGCCCGAAGAGGAAGTCGGAAAAAACCGGTTTCAACACCGGCCGCATCAGAAATAGGGCAGCATCCCAGTTGCCTGTAAAAACTGATGAGACCACCCAAATCCACCAAATCAATCCCTTGGCTACGGTAAACTGCCCACAGGATGATGATCTATTTGCTGGAAGGATAAAAACCATGTAGCCACATTACACCCTTCGCATGCCCTACGTGTGCATCGCTTTTGACATTCATAATAAGAGACGTACGTTGCACGTTGCACTTTCGACTCCTTATGCCAGGCGATTCTATCTTATCCAACCTGCAAAAAAACCATCGACTACAACGCTGCTTCAGCCGAACCACTGAAACAATGCAATGCCCGCCAGGGGCGCGGCCCGCCATCCCGTCACGTGAGGCGCCTCCAGGAGATCAAAGTCGCTCTCCTCGGCATCATCCTCTAGCCTCACCAGGGATTTAGTTGCTGTGGTTGGTTCTGGGCATGCCTTTTTGGGCTGGGTGCGACGAGGGAGCAGCTAATGTGGTTGGTTCTGCGGTTGTTCGTTTCTGCTATGGATTGAAACTGTTTGAAAACAGGTTTGAAACAGAGCTAAGACCCCTCATTCACAGCATTGCCCTCTCCTGAACAAACCCTAGATTAAGAAACTCAACGTTAGAGTCTACCTAGCCTAAGATTTCTTCTTCAATCACTTGGGATCAAGAAATATTCTAGACTCTATCGACAAAGTTTGGATTTCTTATCGCAAGCCTCAGCAATATAATACTTGGACTACGAGAACATGAGCAGTCGAAAGTGCGTTTGGAGAATATCATCTCTTGTGACATGTGCATCGTCGCTTCGAGTATGCACTCGTCATTTTTTGGGGCCAAACTTCTGTACTTTTACCAGCCAATCTTGGATTCACTTGTCCGTAAGATAAACTATTCACCAGTTTTAGACTGTGCCCCGCTCCGGAAACCATCACCCAAAGCCAATTCCCATGAGCCAGAATGTAAGTATTCATCAGTTCCTCCCACAGACATGCCGGACCATCAGTGCAACGGTCTGGATGTTCTCGTTTGATAAGAACGAGACCTACACTGCTTGAAAGAATCATAGGTGGTTACGTTGATGGTGGTTACAGTCCCGAAGACTCGGAGACGATGACGACCATTGTCCATCCGAAGACCACAGGTGGTGAACTCCATTTCTATTGTTTCAGGGGCTGTATGTCAAGGGCTCAAATTCTAAGTGTCTTCCACCTACCTGAAATCTTGATCATCAACTGGGCGTTTCCGGGATCGAATTCAGCTGAGGCTGGCACCTCCACTTGGCACCATCGGTGAGGTCAGCGAACTTCTCCATTTCATCCAAGTCAAAGAAATCCTGGAAAGTTCAAAAATGCTGCACCGAAGTCAGACTTATATATGTATAGTATAGTTTATTTAGATATATATATATATTAATTGTATTTAATTGTAATTATATGTTGTCCCCTAACTGTAACCCAGACTCTTAAAAAAAGAAACTTCACCGAGAAGCCGAGACTGCTGCTGGAACAACACCATCAAGAAACCAAGCGCAGTCGCAGCGTGGGCGTCGGCTAGTTGGCTCCAAACGCCCAGTGTCCTTCTGCACAGTAGAATAGAATATCGTTTCAGTTCCGCACCGCTGCACGATGGAGTCAAATAGGTTGGAGGCCATCGGTAGTAGTAGTTTCCCTAAAAAACTAGGAACCAAATCATTAGTGCGAGCGCTTCCTGGATCCTAACTAGTAGCTTTACTTGCAGCTACTAGCTACCTCTCCCTACTAGCGACTTCCTACCTCCACCCGCGGGCTACCCCGTAGAAAATCTTCAATGAATACTGTACTAAACGAGCAAGATGATAGAGACTGGCAACCTTAGGACCTTCCCCCAAGCGAGGAGTGCCTCGACTGCCAGACTAGTCCGGCAGTCCAAAAAGTGGGACACCAAGGAGTGGAAGACCCATCTCAGCGCTACAAGAAACATGGGGGGACGTGGGTCAAAACATGGGGACCTTGGTTGATCACCAACAAGAAGAGAATAGACTACAAGGGACTCAAGGGACTCCAGGTTTTTGGGCTCCAGGTTCTGACACCCACGAACACCCAACCCCACTGAGAAGACATCTTCTTACCCCATCATCCCGGAGCCCCAGAGATCACCTATTCGCATGACGAAGAAAAAACGAAGACCTTCAGAGCAGTGCCCCACAACTGGAATGTAACAAACTGACCGGTCGGACCTGAAGACTAACTTAGAAGTTGAAAAGTGACTCAAAACTACCCTCAAAGTAACCTAAACACTGGAAACTAAATAATTTGCATTCACCTAGCGGTCAAAATGATTGCTGCGTTGTTTAGAGCCACTGCCACAGCAGCATCTCACAGACCATGGTCACCCTTCTGCAGTTGTTGGTCCCACCTGTCCAGTGGCTTGCTCCTCTGGAGCTTCCTGAACACGTCGGACGCTGAAGCCGAACATGTAACTCAGCAAAAGGAACCTAATAGCAATGGTCTCCGACCTAGTGGCGATGGCGGAGAAAACCTAGTAGTCGAACGTGGGTGGCTACCCGAGTCCTGTCTGTCTAAACCCACATTTGTTAACTGGACATGGTTCATGGTTCTCCCAAAATAGGAAACGGACATCTTTTCCACTTATTCATGCATGTCATGCCAATGTAAGCCGTCCCAAAAAAAAACAATGACAAATTCATGGCATCCACAACCCAAAAAGCAAATGTTTAGAAGAACCATCCACGCTCTGGTTGTGTTAGGCACCTTTGTGTTCACAAGCGCCAGCAATGTCCTAAGATGTCGTATGGAATGTATGGATATCAAGAAGCCGTAGAGTCAGGATCTTCGATGGCAACGGATTTTGGTATCGGCACTCAAGCCTTAGTTCAGGGGACGAGCTAGGGTCTAGACCAACCTCAGCACTCAAGCCATTTCCAATAAACATTGGTGATGCTCTTCGAAACCGATCAAGCGATCCCGACCTGGATGTCTCCAAACTAGCCTCGGAAGCGATCCTCGAGCCGTCGTCCTGTGTTGCGACGAGCGTCCGCCATGGACCATTTCCGATCGATGTTTTGCGGATCATCGGGGTCATGTGTCATTGTCGAACAAAAATACGGTCTTGGTCCAAGGTACGACAGGTACATTGATCTGTAGGTCAGCACCGCAATGCAACTGTAGGTCAGCATGCCAGTCCCATGGAGTATTTGGAATTGGACTTCATCTAAACACCCCAGTGCTGTACAAGAAACCTGACTTTCTGGCATGATTGCCAAGACATGTATACTACCACCACCTGCTGCACCATTCCTCCGGACACCCGCCTCTTCACCCTCGACCTGGAGCGGTCGAAATACTATCAAAGCACCGTTTTGGTTCAGGACTATTATATGCTCTGGGAGTCAAAGACTACAAAAAGAATTGTCTTTAGGGTGCCTGAAAGGGACTGTCCTTTACTTCACTATAGAAAAGTATAGTTTTTGGACTTCCAGGGTATGGCTGTGGGTCAAAACAGGCGTACCTTGGGTGACTAAAGAACGACCTATGAACAGCATGTCGACCACCATAGGTCGGTCAACCTACCAGGGTGAGGTCGTGGCCAACCAGGTGCCATGACCCACATCTGGACGGGCAAATTCTCATGTGTTTCGCCTCCCCATGCCATCGAACGAACGGGAAAAACACAACTAGTTGGTCAGTCAAACACATTGGTTGGAGTGTCGAAATATTACCGCAAACACTTGCTCCAACTCACAGGTAGTTCTCTGCTCAATGGAGTCACCTAGTCAAACTGCTCTTTTCATGCAACCTCTTTGAAAGAATTCAACCAAACGACTCGGAATCGAATAATTTCTACTTAGACCGCCAATTCCTCGAACTGCTCAAACGGCCTCGGACCGTCGTTCCTGGCTTTTTTTTTGTGACTCGGCTGTGTGGCAGTGGCAGCATGCCCCAGTTGGAGCTCTGGCCGAAATGTGGGTCTTCCCAGCTATATGGACCTTCCACGGGTGCATGTTGATTGAAAAGGCAGGAAACAAACCATTATATAGTTTGTGCTCTGCCATGCCCCTGCGCAAGGTCCAGGCCAATCTTACTTGAGGTTGAGGAGAGGAGGGGCAGTGTCAGTTCTCAGTACAACCCTTTGGACTTTGGACTGAACATCTCCCAAGGTCAAACAATCCACACAGGGTAGATGCAACTAAGGAAGTGCGACCAGGTGCTTCTTCCCATCTCTGGCCAATAGATAAATATGAGTCACACCGTGTCACACCCGAAAAACCTTCCTCTTGTTGACCTACATTCACACTCAACTGACTGGTGCTTACGGAAATGAGGGCCGCAAATCCTCACCAGAGATGCCCCTGATTGGACCCACTCTTACCCTTCCTCCAACGATCATGTTTCAGCGGATGGCCTGGCCCCTACGGGTGACCATTTCCTCTACAAGCATTGGAGATTGTCCACTTCCATGTTTGGAGGGAGGGTAAGTAGGGTCCTCGTGAGTCACAGTTTGTAGACGGTCAATTGCTGGAGACCCCCGCCCCCGAAATAGGCTGGTACTGGTCGATTGGTCTCTTCATCGAAATGGAACGCCAAGCACTGCAGGGTTCAGTCTCCCTCTTTGAGCTACACCCCCCCTTGTTCTTTTTTCCTCTCGCCAAGCCTCGAAGCACAACACCTCCGTCTCTGCGCCCGGACGACCGGACCGCGCCAAAACGACGTCACCCAGATCTCGCCTTCGAAAGCGGCGGCTCACCTCCGGAAGGGACGAACACTGGCGAGGGACGAACACTGGCTTTCGTCTCTTCTGTCATGTCTTGAGTAATACCCAGACCATCACATGGGACTAGAATAGTTACATGCATTTGTCACATGAATATAGCCCCAATGCTAATGAGGTAACTACTCCATTCCCATGGAGTGTCTGGGATAGGCCAACCCCCAAACGGCCAGGTATGGCCAGGTGACTGGAGCTTCTTTCTGGAAAGAAGACTTCCCAGGTGGCATGCATTGTTTTTCACTGAAGACAATCCAGGAACTCAACCCTTCAAGGTGTCTTTCCCGAAATTGTCACTCTTGAAAAGTCTTTTCTCTGTGATTTGGTCGGTCAGTTTCCAGTCCACTTCTGGCCTTCAGGAAGCCTCTCCTTCTTTCGAGCCTCGCCCAACAGTCCGGCGCGCCGGCGGCATGCAACGGGCGGTGGTCCGTGACACCGCGGTAGTGGCAAAAGTGGAACGCATCCGAGATCCGTGTCAATCCCATTCCAATGTGAATGTGATTTCACCTGGTGTAAGGGCTTGGAAATTCTACAATCCCCGATCTGGTTGGTGGTTTCACCTCACTTGAGGAAATATGAGTCAATAGGAACAAGCATCTCAAGTAAAGGTTAAACATTAACATTTCTGAAACCACCACCCAGTCGCAGCACTCTATGGAACCTCTCATTGCGAATGGACACACCTTAGGAATCCCAGTGTCAAACAAAATCTTCCACCCCAAACCTACCGTCCACGGCCGCTATCAATGGCTGAGCGGCTTCATGCAGGTGGTTCTTTTCTGGTACAGAAAAAAACACGACGAATGGGAATGGAATATATGTCTATCGGGTTTAGGGATATATATTGACCCCTCAACCACCCCTGCCAATGTAGGTCAATATGCACATGAGTGTCTGGGGATTATGACGGTCACTGAACCAACAACAAAAACACCCTTTACAGTGTAGTTGAATGTAGTTGAGGCTAATCATGGCATCCATCCCAGCAATAAACATCCATCCGGCATCCGGCATCCCGCCTTCGGCTTCTCTATAGGAGCCTCCTCCTCTGCTTCTTGCTGTTCTGCTTCTTGGGGAGCCTCGCCACACGGCCCACACCCAGCGGGGGCGAATGGACGCGTGTGGGCCAAACAAAGGTGGAGTCAGGATCTAACACTGCAGGACATTTCTACAACATCTACAAGCAAATCTGCATTGAATGGGTACTTAGTACCAAGTATAGCATGGAAAAAAGGAGAAACCATGTTCCTGGGAAATGCTGGGAATCTTCCAGTGGACACAACTCTCTTGGTCGATGATTCATAAGGACATGCCACGTCTGCTCCACTCGGGGCCTTCTCCTTTGAGTCAGGCACAGCCAGATCGATGGCACCCTGAAGCAAGAATCCGAGATTGCACCGCTGGAACCCAGATGGTGTGCGGTGTGCAAACATGCGCCGTGTTGACATCAAAGCCCCGTCCACGAACACAAAGGCAAAAAGACCAGAACTGTGACCTTGGACATCTCGTCACATAGGTGTAATACGGCCATTCTGGTCCTATGATTGTTTAACCTCTGTTGCAGCGTTGCTAGAAGAACACGTCCGAACACACATATACCACTTTGACCTTTGGAAGAAGTGAGTGCATTCGCCACGCGCCACAGGATTCTCGAAGGTGTTCGACCTTGGAGAGCTCGTCGAATGAGGTCCACGTGGCAAAACCAGATTCCCACAGGATCAATCACAGATACCCAAAGGGATGGATCAAAGAGGTCTGCTTTAAATGGGAAAAGGCTTCGGCCTGTTTCTGTGAGTACAGGATGTTCATCGATCCCAACTTTTGCTCCAAGGTGCCACTTGGATCGATGAAAATAGGGAGATCTCCCAGGTCGTTAGACCCCACGGAGGAAGAGATATCAACCAGTCTACCCATTGGCTGGGGGTCTCCCAATAAAAATACATCATAAACACATAACAAAATCATCGCAACATCTATATATATATATATATACATCAGCAGCACAGATTAAAGAACCGCAAGGATCCGCAAGGCTCATCTTCGTTGGAAGTTACAGAGTTCCATTTGTGGCGTGACTCAAATGCGGCGATCAAGCCGTTGGTCTTGCGTCTTGCGGCTTGCGGGTGTAAACAATCCCTGATGAGTGTGCCGTTTTGGATTTGATGGTGTGCCGGAGCATGTTTTTTCTCGCCTGCAAAGAATGGAACTTGATCGAAACATGCTACTTCAAAACCTATAGGGATGAGATGCGATGAGATGCGATGCGATGAGTCACAAGAGCACCAAAAGACATGACAAGCAGCGATCAATCCAGGGAAGAGCATGCACACCAAGCATGGCTGGATCACATCGGACGTTCAAAGTGTCAGGAAAGGGACCAGGAGTTCAGGCCTGCATTGGAGAAAAAAGCTCCAAAATGGCCACCCAACAAGAGGACAACAGTGAGTTCATGCCTTTTTCCTATCTTTCCACCCCCCTGCAGGCCCTGCAGGCCCTGCACACGCACACCGATCCTCAGTCCCTTCGCACCATCCCGGATCGGCTGCGCCTTGGGAGCAGCAGCCAGCTTGGGAATCCGCTTCCGCCTGAGCGACGACGCGTGGCGAGTGGCGGACCGGATCGGGTCCCTGAAGGCACCGGCGGAACCAGAGAGGTTCTAAGCGACGACCTGAACGAGTCGGACCGGGCCTAGGGTACGAGTCGGACGACTTTCACTTCAGGTCCGATTTCACACATCCGAGGTGATCCGCCACATCGATGTTTGACAGCACTTGGCTGTCAGAGTTGCCGACGTGTGGCTGCCAGTTGGGCCTTTTGAGGTCTTCTCACCGAAACAGTTGGGGCGTCAAAACACGTGTCTCGTGTAGGGAAGCAACGGTCAGTTTAGTAGCTTTAAGCAAGGTTTAAGGACCTCCATGATTGTGTCTAGGTTTAAGGACCTACTTAAACACAATTGTGTCTTGTGTCGTGTGAAATCTCTTCGAACACAGCGCTTCGATTCTTGGAGTCTCTGAAACATCGAACTGTGGGCATTCCAGTGATCGAGCTGTGCATAGTTTCTTTGTTTTGGGACGAACTGCTACCGCGCCGTTTCGGAATCTTAGCTGCACAGGTTCTACAGCTCCTCAGCTTTGGGCATTCAAAGACTCAATGTATGAACATGTATGACTCAAAGACTGACTGGTGCGACTCGTTGGCAGTGAGATGGAATGAGGGAAGCTACGCCCCCCATTTTCAGCTTCCTTCCAATCCAGCCACCCACCTCGTCAGACTTGACCGATGATCCAGTCCTAACTCGTCCAACTCCGACCCTTCTCCAGTGCTTTCCGGCAAAAATGGTCTGCTGCTTCTGCTCATTCTCTCTGCTCGTCCCTGGTTCGGTCGCTCCTCGGGCACCCTGCAAGCTTTGCCGGAGTGGGACGTTCTGGACCTGCCGACGAGCCGAGGCTTCACCGCCGCACGGTTCGTTGCACGGTTCGTGCAACGGCGCGCGCCATGCGATACAAGCGCCATGCGATGCCGTCGTCCACAAACTGGGTGGTCCCTATTTTGTGGGCCCATGATGGCCCATGGTGAGCAGTCCTCCTATAATGGGCAGCTATGGGGCAGCTAATTTTGTAATGCCACAATGCCTATATTATACTAGGGTGAGATGACTTAGGCCAATTGGGTCGAAATGACATACAACTTTCCCAGGGCAAGTCCTAAGTCATGTACAAATGTTAAATTTGCAATTTCATTGGCACACACTCATGACATAGGCCTTGTTGACCTGGTCCTGAGTTTTTTTTTTTGGGGGGGGGGGGGTTGGTGGGGGGCATGCTCCTGGAAGATTAGGGTGAGATGACTTAGGCCACTTGGGACTTAGGAATCCTGTCCTGTCTCATTAAGAACACATTACTATCTCATTTAAGTCTGCCTTTGTGCTTTTTTGCCCTCAAATTCCTATCTCTCGATGGTTTATTCATTGTTTAGATACCAAAGTCGTATGTCATGATGCTTGTCAATATAAAATCAACTGTTTTTAGGATCTTTGGTGACAACCTCTGGCATCTGATTTTGAGGTTTTTCCAAGCTTTTGCTTCATGACATAAATACTTGTGGGGGGTAGGCTAAACCTTCATGACTTAGCCGCCGCAATTTGGAGGTAGTTTTCACAAGTCCTTTGTCATTTCAGCCTAGTATATAAGAATGTAATAGAACGAATATGGTGGCTGAAGCGAGTGGGGAGCAGGTTGTAACTCTGGAAGTTTCTTGTTTCTCACCCGAGGGGTCTGGATGACTGAGAGCCAAAGGCTCCAGTTCCAGTCCGGTAGTCCTGTGAGCCTGCAGCCTCCGTGTTGGTTGGTTGATTACTGTCGTGTGGTGGCTCACAGGTGGGGTCGGGACGCATGCACGCCGCAACACGAGCCGTACTGACCCCGCAACCACTGGTCTCTTAGGAGTCAGTCATCATGGAGAATCCTAAGCCTTCTAGACTTCCATCAATTAGAGTCGATGTGGCTGTACATCAAAAGTCGGGCACCCTGCTTGGCCCCTGCAAGTGAACAAATACAATCAAATACCTTAAGAAGGGATGTCAACCTACCATGGTTTGGTGGCACAGGTTTGGACTCACAACCCATCTTTAGAACGTCGGAAGGTAATTATACTTCCCCCTGGTGGTGCGGGCCTCCAACTCCTCCCAGATCTGCTCACTCTCAAAGCCTGTCGCTCGGCACATTTCACTGTTTCCCCAAAGTTTCAACGTCCAACCTGAAGAACCGTTTTGCGAGATAATTTTTGGATGGGATCCAGGGGGGAACAAAACACCTTCCAGTCAATCCTTTGTGAACTGTTCACAGGCCCAAATCTACAACAGTCACCTCAGGAAAAAACACTGTGCGCAACCAAACCTTGGTTTTGGAATTCGACTTAGCGAGTCAAAATTGCATGGGGATATCAAACAATACATTGCAATACCCGTGAAAACGTTTTGGCCAACAGTCGGGATGTGATTCTATGTGGTCGTTACCTGGCAGCAATGAAGTACTGGAACAAACCCCTACGGATCCAATGTATTTTTTGAATGTGTTTGTACCCTCCAGGCCTACATAAAGGTCTCAAACACATCACCCTCTCAAAGGTATGTGGATCCATAGTGCCATAGGGAACGCACACAAACATACACGGTATCATACACGTAAAAAACACTTCTGTGCACGTTTGGTATGTTCACTGTTGTTTGAAAACCTCAGCAACAGTGTAGAAATTGCAAATTTCAACCATTTAGATTTGCAGGCTTAATGTGTTCAAGAAGGATACTGTACATTCATCCATTTTCAGGTCCCCATTTCAAGCTGCCAAACCGCAGCCGCACTTTTGTTTTTGCCCTCAATGGTTGATCAATGGAGCTCAAAAGGTTCCACGCAGTCCAACGAATCGGAACGGTCGATGAGCATTTGTCTGCAGAACGCAATAGTGCATTGCTGCAGTACGACCACACTGAAAACAACCTCCTATACTTTGGAATGCACCGGGCTGAATCAAACGTGGTTTCCACCATCACGCATAGCTTCGTTGACGTGCATTTGCATGATGGCTGCACCCCCTGTTTACAAAAAAACAAGATGTTTTTGAATCCAAGGGTGACACTTTGACAATGGGTTTGCAGTTAACTCTATTCCCAGGTCGAACAGGGTGAAGGAACGGAAAGGCGAGTGAGTCCGAAAACTTGAAGATGTTTAACAAAGGTTTTGCGTGACTGCGGAAGCTAGTTACTGCATTAGCACTTTACTGCAAGAACGGTAAGGCGAAAGGGTCCGAAGAACAGAGCTGTTTAACAAGCTCACTAGCACTTCACCAAAGCTAAGGAAACCTGTTTTGGGGGATATCATGCGAAGAACCACCATGAAAGCAAAAAGGGAAAAGTGGAGTCACAGCGTAAACAACAGTTTTTAGCAGGTACGTGGAAATGGCGTCCCATTTCCATATCCTCGGATGCATCGCCAGCTTCGTTGACCAGGCGACGATGCATCCTGCCTGGTCCCCTGCTTGTGGAAAACTCTTAGGAACAGAGTGTGACACACACACTCGGCCGCTTTGCGGCGCTCTCGCGGAGGACCTAAATTAAAGGACCGGATATTCCCACATATGAATCTTTACGAATCGTAAGTTTCTAGAGCACAAAGCAGTCAGAGTCTCAATAGTTTCTACAATATGGCCTTGTCAGGAATTATATCAGAATTACACAACAGAGGGGTGGGAGAGCAAGAGGATCATCAGTAGCATCTCTCGCTGCTGCGCTTGCCTGACCTCAACGGTGCCGCAGCGACACATGTGCTGTGCAGCTCCAGCACAGCAGGCACATGATCATCATGCGCGAAGCCACCATCGAAATCTCTCCAACTAAACGAGGCGGAGCCTATGCGCCGCCCTCAGCCTCCTCAGCGGCCAGCTGCTTCCTTGCGGATGCGCTTCTTCATGTTGTTCTTCTGCGACTTTGTCAAATTTGACAGCGGCTGGGGCTGAGAAGCCTCGTCCTCTTGAGGATAGTCTTGGAGGTTGGGTCTGGACACAGCTTGCGCCGGTGGTTGCATGGGTGTGGGGTTGGCCTGAATAGTGGACACTGGTGGCTCCATGGGAGTAGGGTTGGCCAGTGCACTGGATGAAACTTCCGCTGGCGGCTGCATGGGAGTTGCCTGAGCTGGCAACTCGTCCACAGGAGTGGGGTTGCACAGGTATTGTGCAGACATGTGTGTACAACCACAACTATAGCCGAAGTAAAAGCCCATCGCTCTGCCGACGTCAAACCCTATAGCCAATCTACACATGGAGCTTCGCAAAGCGCTGTGCCTGCCACGAAATCTGCACATGGAGCTTCACAAAGTGCTGCGCCTGCCACCAAATCTGCACATGGAGGTTCACAAAGCGCTGTGCCTGCCACGAAATCTGCACATGGAGGTTCACAAAGTGCTGCGCCTGCAGCGAAATCTGCACATGGAGGTTCACAAAATGCTGCGCCTGCCACGAAATCTGCACATGGAGGTTCACAAAGTGCTGAGCCTGCCACGAAATCTGCACATCAAGAAACAAGTGAAAACTCTAATCACAATGGAGGAACGGACCGGCGACCACCGCCGACCACGCAAAAGCCAGAGCCTCTAACGGAGCATGGAGGTTCACACAGTGCTGTACCTGCCACGAATTTGCACACATGGAGGTTCACAAAGTGCTGTGCCTGCCACGAAATCTGCACATGGAGCTTCACAAAGTGCTGCGCCTGCCACGAAATCTGCACGTCAAGAAACAAGTGAAAACTCTAATCACCATGGAGGAACGGACCGGCGACCACCGCCGACCACGCAACAGCGAGAGCCTCTAACCGAGCATGGAGGATCACACAGCGCTGTACCTGCCACAAATTCTGCACATGGAGGTTCACAAAGTGCTGCGCCTGCCACGAATTCTGCACATGGAGGTTCACAAAGTGCTGTGCCTGCCACGAAATCTGCACATGGAGGTT